TTGGTACCCCTCCTCCCTTAGTTTCCTTGGGGGCAAGGGGTGGGGAATTTAACTCCAGGGCGAAGTTTGAAATTTCACATCCCAGCCCAGGGAGAGGGCCCCACAGCCAGCCACCCCCCCCCAACCAAAATCAGTGAAAGGAGCCTTTGTGGGTTTGATGGAGTGGGGGGGTGAGCTGTAGCCTGGAGAACTAACTTTTTCCATGACTCAGCTCTCCTGGTGCAGGGCGGGCACAGGAGGTGCAAGGACCCAGCTGGGCAGTTCTAGAGCTGCCTTCCAGCCCAGAGCCGAGCTGCCTTCCAGCCCAGAGCCAGCCAGACATCAGGGTTAGAGGTGGGCCCCCAGGAGAGCCTCCCCTGCAACTAGCAGGGAAACTTGCTGGCCTTGGATAGGCCACCAGCCTGTAAATGTGTCCCTCCCCCCTCCCCCACTGGGTCCCCTATTCTTTACTTACTATTGCAGCCCCGGTGCCAAGCACTCGAATGTTCATGGCTTGTTGCTTATCACCATCTCAGCAGAGAGCTGGAAAGATAAATGGGCATCAAGCCTTGCCTTTTATTTATAAGGCTCAGAGAAGTCAAGAAAGTCACCCAAGATCACACAGCTAAGAGATGGAGATAGGATTTGAACCCCTGGTCGAATGCCATGTTCTGTCTCCTTTATCCATGGATGTCTCTCACAGCGTGTAGGATTACCTGGGTGCTTGTCAAAATGCAGATTCCTGGGCTGCCAGCCTAGACTACTAGAACCAGCATCCTAGGGTGGGGGCCCATGAGTGTGCATGCAGGCCAGGCAGGAGATTGTTGGGCACCCAATGTCCGCAGCCCCTTGCTACTTCCGGGCCCTGCAGGAAGTTTCCCTTGCTTTTACACTCCTGGGCAAGCCCTTCCTTCCTTTGCCCTTAGGGTCTATCAGGGCACTGAGTCCTCACTCCTGGGCTGTTGTGGGTTGGTGGCTCTCAGCAGCTCTACAGATACCTAACAGGGAAGAAAACAGAAGCTGGAGGAGCAGAGGTACGTACACTCACCCATTCAGTCCATCCTGCAGCCAACCCACCCTGGTGGGGTCCTCTCCCTGGGCCGCCCCAGACGGGCCCGGAGCCTTGCGGGGTAGTGAAGCGTGCTGGGTCAGAGAGGAGCAGAGCCCGGCAGCTCTGGTTCAAGTCCCAGCTCTGCCAGCCCCTCATCCCCAGCTTCCTCATTTGTAAAGGGTGGATAACAATGAAGATAGATTCAGCTACTCGGAAAATCCCCTACCAGGAGCTCAGTGAGTACCAGCTCTTGTTTTTATGGTCCCTGCTTGTCAGGCCCTTTCCATCTTGCTGGGGAGCCAGTTTGGCCCCATGCAGAGAGATTACGGGGCTTATGTTTTGCGGCGTTCCTGGACCGCCCCGGAGCAGGGCTCCTGAAACACCTCGCCAGGCTGGGCACTTGCCCTCATTTCCTCCCGTCACCTTCTACCCCACAACC